TCTAGAATAAAAATAGTGGAATTTATGAAATATACTTTTAATTACAAAACAACTTTTTTCATTTCAATTTTATATAACCTAGGTTATATAGGGCCTGTTATGCGCTCTTTTTCTTGGAAGAAAAATGTTTGTTGGTAAAAAAAATCAGATTATGTATCATCATACCAACCTCAAACTTGTTCATTTTGAGAAGATTTCTACTCTTGTTCTCCTTAGGGTTACCCCATAGAATCTTTTTGGTTTTACCCACTGCACAATGGATAAAATATGACATTTTCAAATCAAAAATCAATAACTTCTTTGTTTCTCTACATACATACATATATTCTTCAAAATCTATATATATTTTTTCTAATATTTTAACTTCCCTAATTGATTTAACGATGTTCGCCCGCCCGTGTGTCCTTTAAAAAGTCATTTACAAAATAAAGGTCTTGTCTTATTTTTTTGGGTCCAGTACTATGCGTACTACCCCATATAAGAGCACCTTGCGAATGTGTCTTTAGAGCTGATAATTATGTTAAATACAGTTAATCACAAAAATAAGCATACAGAAATACTGACGATTGGTTTTATTTAAAAAAAAACATATTATTTTTTCAAAAAACAAGAAATTAACACATTTATTTAATGTTTAGAGAAATTACTTTTTATAATATTAAATGTAGTTTTTGAGCTTTTCTTAAGAAATTTTCGAAAAAAGGAAACACAACTACTTCTTTCTAATGTTATAATAACATTTTAATCAAAATTTACATATTTGTAAGAATATATTTTCATATTAAGTTTTATTTTTGAAGAAAATAATATAAAACTCAAGAATAGCTTTTATTATAAATATACAAATTTTACATGTAATGTATAAAATCTTCATAAAATTCAATTACATTTGCATTTTTTAGATTTTTTATACTAGTGTAGTACGTTTTTCAGCTTTATGGAAATATAATTTTTTTATCAAAAATCCAAACTTTGCAAAAACCATTTTCGATGCGGAAATCAATAAAATTTTCCATTGCACTGTTTCATTATTCCAAGAGGTCTTATGGAATTCTCTCACCCATATTTTTAATTCAGCCTTCGTTGCGTCGAATGGTTTTGCGTTCGTCACGGTGGTATATTCCTGTTTCTGGGTCTTCAATATAGAACCCCAGGCCCACTTTGTCCCCAAATTTAGAGCCGTCCGTGTAGCAACGGATTCCTACGGGTATTTGCTCTAATGTTCCGCTTGACCAAGACATTCTATCTAAGATCAGTGTTCAAAGTTTCCGACATATTCTGTGTCTGGTATTCGATCGGATACGTCCGATGATAAAAGCCTTCCAATGTGTCCAGTAGACATTGATGACGTGTCCTATACCGTTTTTCGCCAGTTCGCCTAAAGTTATGAGCCATGGCTGTAAGCGCCGTCTCATATTATAAACATGTTTCAATGGGTGGAATATCCAGCAACGCTTCCAGAGCCTTGGTTGACGTAGTACTCATGGCACCACTTATAACCAAGCAGCATGTACGCTGAACTCCCTGTAGTAGTTTGATATTACACTTTTTGTCCAATGAAGTCAACCAGATTATTAAAGCATAAGCTAAAATTGGTCTAATTCATATACCGGCGCTATTATTGTTCTGAATACGAAGATTTTCGGCAATTTGCATGTATACAATACGAACTTCTCAACAAGAGCGTCAAAAATAAAAAAAAAATATTTTATTTAGTTGCTTCACAGTATTTAACAAAAGCATAAGTTACAAAAACAACGTACACCCTAAATGATTTTCAAGAATGGATAACAATGAAAGTAATTTAAAATGTTGTTTCTATGTGAAGAAATTATCATTCTTATGATCATTGATTATATTTTGTTTATAAATATTCCCATTTTATAGTAATGCAATTTAATCTTCAAAATTGAAAATTGTCAAAATTTTCTTCAGTGCAATGTGTTGATCCTATCCTCTATGTGGTGTCTCCATTTTAATTTCCGGTACTTATCTCTGTCTGTCACCGGTATCTTCTTGCCCAGGAAAGAGGGTTCAGGTATAAATATTACCCTTGCACCCTGTCATTTAACTGGGGTATATGTGATTTTCAAGCATGCAGTGAAAATCTGTGACAAATGTACGGAAACCAGCCCCGCCAAAATCTACAAAAGTACCGGGAAATGTCTATAATACTGCAGGGCCGGACTCTCATAAACGGTTCTTAAGGCGAGGTCCTGTATCAGCGTAGAAAATGTGGAGAATTACTTGAATTATTCCAGAAACCTTGTTACGAATCGTCCAAAGTTCCTGTATGTATCTTTCCTATGTTTAATTTTGCCACCAGAGCGTTGGTAGCCGTCTCGCTCCGATGGAGGTTTATTTGGATAACTTCAATCGTGGTCATCCATTAAACTGTCTTCCAGCGAGTTGGTGATCACCTCCTCGCTTTTAGGATTTGACTCCTAAACATTACCAGTACTTGCTAATGATGCTTTGGGTACCGTTTAAGGTGTTTTAGTGTCCTTGTCGGGGCCGGGTTTGACAGCCCGCGCCGTAACTTTTCATACAATATTCCCAGGTGGTGGACGATCTGCCCTCCTTTAGCTTAAGCGAAACTATAGTGGGAGACTACAGCTTGTCCATCACCACCCACTATCCGCCACTCGGGGACGCGCTCTGTAGGAAAAAACTGGAAAACTCCCCCGAGTACATTACAAATAATTTTGTTACATTTTTTTCTTTCGTTAAATGTCACCTTAACGAAATTATTTTTTAAAATAAAATAAAACAAAGTTTCTTAATATATACGAAAAAAATACAAACGGTTTTCTAACTAAAATTAGAAAGGGTTTGATTAAAATGCAAGTTTGATTATTATGCACGAAATTTTCGTAAATATTATAAAAAAGTAGTTACGAATAATATGTCGATATGGGACACTGAAAATTCCAGAAACAGACATTTACTAAAAACATCAAATTTCACAGTCTTTGATTTGGCAATTTTAAAAGATATTTGTAAAATATAGACATTCAAAGTGAGAGTGAGTACGCAATTATGGCCAAAAATCAAATCGCGCAATTTCTTTTTTGGTACTGTAGTGTTAAAGTAAACACTTAATAGATTATAAAATGTAGTTTTGGTTTTTGGAAAAACTACTACACATTACACCGCGATAAAACAAAAGTAAAATATTTTTCATAAATTAAAAAAAATATATTTCTAAAATGTTGGTATTATTCTTTTCCAACAGATTTTTTAGTTAAGGAAAAAATACATTAAACCTATTACTTATTTAAATTAATGATGATAATATAGATTTTACTTCTGAAACGTTAAATATAAAAAAGTATGGCTGATGTACAAAATATATGAGGTATATTCTATTCATTAAAAAATTATTTCGAATTTTTATATAGATTTCAATAAGGAATAAAACAAAATGTTTAAAAGTGTTGAAGAAAATTTTAAAAATCAAAATTAGATCAATGTGTTGGAAAATAATTGCAATCATTTTATTTTACCATAACTCCTTATTAAAAAATATATTTTTTCCAAACAAATTTTTTGGTTCGAATTTTTATACAGACTTAAATTAAGAATAAAACAAAGCGGTTAAAAATGTTGAAAAAAATATAAAAAATCTAAATTACATCAATATGTTGGGAAATATTTGCCATCAATTAATTTTAATATATGTATCTTGCCCGTTTAGTTAAAAATTTACATTATTTAAAAATAATATGATTTCAATTTGTTTATAGACCTTAATCATCAAATTTTGCAAGAACAACTTGACACCTATGGAAACTACAACAGGTAGGAGACCTGAACTGTTGTACAAGTAGCTTTAGAATCAATATGAACATTCGGTTTAAGAATAAGTCGACTGGAAATACTGGGCGTGGCTCCTTCCATATAAATTATATACTCAAAGTCGTATATCTGGGAATATATAACAACTAAAATAATGTATATGGGAATATGGTTTTTGTGTATCAAAACACACTGGGTAAGCTAGTTAATAATAAAACAAAAATGGTTGAGGTGTCGAGAAAATATAAAAAAATCAAAATTAGACCAATATGTTGGGTAATATTTGCCACCAATTAATTTTAATATATCTTGTCCGCTTAGTTAAAAATTTACATTATTAAAAAATATCTGAATTTGTTTAATTAAGAATAAAACAGAAATGATTAAAGTGTTGAGAAAAATATAGAAAATCGAAAAATATAGAGAATCGACCAATCTGTTGGGAAATTTTTGCCATCAATTAGTTTTAACATAACTTGCCCGTTTAGTTAAAAATTTACATTTTAAAAATATATTATCTGATTTTTTTTAGAGACTTCAATTACGAATTTGGCTTAGTGTTGAGAAAAATATAAAAATCAGAAATTGGGCCATATTATTGGGAAATATTTACAATCTATTTATTTCGCTATAACTTGCCCGTTTAATTAAAATATGCATTTCTTAAATATAACATTCTCTTAAAAAAAAATTTTTTAATATTATTTTTTGGTTCGAATTTTTATAGGGTCTTTAATCAAGAATGAAACAAAATGGTTAAAAATGTTGAGAAAAGTATAATAAATGTAAATTAGACCAATTTGTTGGGAAATATTTTTCATTAATTAATTTTAACATAACTTGCCCTTTTAATTACAAATGGGCTATTTTTAAAGCTAATTTTTGCTTAAAAAATTAAAAAATACTTCCAATATTTTAATTGGTCACAAAAGGGTTAAAAACGCGAAAATTTATATAAACCTATCACAAATTAATACAGAAATAAATTTTCAATGTAAAAAAAATATTTTTATAGTTTTGGCCAAAAAACATGATAAGCCAGATCTATGTGGTACGGGAGCAACCAGTGTGTATCTGTTTTTAATTAGATTTCTTTCACCTTAGGAAATATAATTTAAGTGTTAGATACGCGTTTCATATTTTGTGACGAATTGTAAAATGTTTTCAAAAATATAATTTTAATATGTTTTCCACTTTTTCAGTCCGGAACGAAACTTCATTTTTAAGAGCCTACAGTAACTATTTTGAAGTTATTACACCAGGCATTTCAGCGGAACAATTGTTTATTCAAGATGATGTAGCTGCAATATTGAATATAGTAATTCTGTTTCTGGCAATTTTAATTGGAATTGTATTGGTGTTTTTACTGATATTATGTTTCGTTTACCGAGTGAATACCAAAAATACTGGAAGCGCAGAGGAAGTTATTAGTTTAAGAGATTCTTTAAGGTATTTTATTTTTAAATATTAAACGATAATATTAAAATTAACGTTCCAAATTGCAGCCGGGTGCTTTTTGGCGGTAGAGCAAATAGCCACAGACATTTCATTGGAACTGCTAATGGAAAAGTTGCTGACATTGGACCTATACATAAATCGGATTTATATATGGCATATAAAAATCGACACAAAGATACGGATTATGGATTTTTACGAGAGTATGAAATGCTACCAAATCGTTTTAGTGATAGAACTACGAAAAATTCGGACTTAAAAGAAAATGGACCTAAGAATCGATATCCTGATATTAAAGCTTACGACCAAACAAGAGTAAAACTATCGCAAATAAATGGCATTCATGGATCTGATTACATCAATGCAAATTTTGTGATTGGTTACAAAGAAAGAAAAAAGTTCATTTGTGCACAAGGACCCATGGATTCCACCATAAATGATTTTTGGCGAATGATATGGGAACAACACTTAGAAATTATTGTAATGTTAACTAATCTTGAGGAATATAATAAAACAAAATGTTCAAAATATTGGCCTGAAAAAATTATGGATTTGAAACAATATGGAGATATTACTGTCAAATTTGTTTCAGAAAAAAAGAATGGTGATTATTTAGTCAGGTCCTTGGACATATTTAAGAGAAATTCTGTCAATGAGGAGGAAGAAGAAAGCAGACAGATTACACAATATCATTATTTAGTTTGGAAAGATTTTATGGCGCCTGAACACCCACAAGCGTTAATAAAGTTTATTCGCCATATAAATGCAGTGTATTCAGTACAGCGCGGTCCAATATTAGTTCATTGCAGTGCTGGCGTAGGGCGAACTGGTACATTGGTAGCATTAGACTCTTTATTACAGCAGTTAGATGAAGAGTCCCAAGTTTCAATTTTTAATACTGTTTGTGACCTACGCCATCAACGAAACTTTCTTGTACAGTCTTTGGTAAGTAATAAATATTACACTCATATGTATGTACGTCTCAAACAAAGTTAATCTTTTGTAACATTATATAAGTTCTTGTACTTACACAACTATTTACTTTTTAAGCTACATTACGCAGTAAAAACGGCGTAATGTAGCTTATACTTATTCAACAACTTACTTTTCAATGACTACCACATACCGTCTGCATTACTTAGAAGGAGTCTAGTAATGACTTACAAATAATATATTATGTAAACACTTACTTTTTAGCCTTGACATGTTGTTTTCGAACTTAGTTTTTAACACAAATGATAAAAATTTTTTTAGTGAAAACTAATAGTAGACGAAGTTGACGTATCGTCATAGACAATTTTTTATTTCTGAGAAACAAAACTACTTAACTTCCTAATTGCAGGTGATCATAGTAAGTACTTATCTAACTCCTTATTTTTAAGCTAGTGTGGTAAGTACCTACTTACCTCCAATGTCATCCCCGTGTTAAAATAATGACTTGTGTAAACAAATTATATTTTAACCCTTAAGTATTCAATGTAAGTATGTATATATGTATATGTTCATAAGAGGTGTCCAAAAAATATCGATTTTGTTCAGATTGGTCTTATTTTGTTCATTAGTGTCTAAAGCTAACTTTCCGAGCCGGAAATCGATTGAAAGGGTACAATTGGGTAAGTATTATAATATGTTATAATATTATAATAGGACTTATTAATTCTTCAAAATTTGTGCCTTTAAAATTATAGTTTCTTAAAATTTCGATCAAATCTTATCTTTTGAAGAAAATTATCTTTCCAACAAGTTATAAATAATTCTTATTTAACTAGTTTTTTTTTTTGTTTATATGTATGTATGTATGTATTTTTGTTTACATCACTTCTGCATACAAAGACAAAACAATGCAAAAAAAATACAAAACAATTTTTTGAACAAATGGAATAAATAGATAATTTTTTCTAAATGATAAGATTTGGACGAAATGTAAAGAAAAGTAAATTTTAACGGCACAATTTTCGTTATTCGATTTGACTAAAATTTAACACCAGTAAGTTTTAGACACTAATAAACAAACTAAGACCCATCCAGTGTTGCCACTCACAATTTATTTTTCTTACCAAAGTTCCGACAAAAAACTACCAAAACTTTCCAAAAAGTACAAAATTTGGGTTTTTGGACAATTGTTCATAATAAACATATTTTCCGTAAAAGGTGTTATATGGCTGTAGAAGAGTCTGAGATCGTAGAAAAAATTGATACTTACAAACGGAATCACAAAATCAATATACCCTTAATATTTTGAACCCATCCAAAAAGATTGGGGTATATTTTATTTGTGATTCCGTTTGTAAGGTAGTGCCCCACGAAATTACATATTTATTCATCAATCTGGCTTCATAGGGAAAAAAATGAATTAATGTGGCCTCCAGTAGATTAGTGGTTTTTGTTATAGTCTGTTAGACCTGAGGTCGTGCGTTCGATTCATATTGTGAACCTTCGGATTTGATGTAACATCCTCACTTCAAACTAACTAACTTACTAACATTCATGAATCAGAAATGCTAAAATACATAGAAACTTAATATTTTCTTAAAATCATAGTGAAACAATATAAACTTAAAATTGACGTATTTTTTTAAAATCCTTATTACTTTGCCATAACGAGTTCAGAAATGTTCATAAATGCATATGCATGAGTTCAAAATTATCTCATCCTACCAAATTTGGACCAAAATTTAAACCTACCAACCAAACTACCAAAGGTCATTTTAGGGATTTGAAACTACCAAATATGGTCCAATTGGACCAAAGTGGCAACGCTGAATCCATCTCAAAATTTTTTTGGACGCCTCTAATGTACATATATATATCTAAAAAATATAGTAGGTTTATTTGTTTATGGGTGTTTTTGTGGTCTATAGACGTCTAAACTGCTGGACCAATTTTTTTAAATTTTCACAGTGTCTTATTGTATGTAAGGAACTATAGGCTACTCCCATATGAATTAAATAGAAAAAATTGTATATCTCAGAAACTATTACAGCTAGAATCATACAATTTTGCATGAAAGATTGTGACATCCATAAGAAAATTTGGGGAGAAATGCCGGAATTATAAATCAGGGGCGTGGTACCTCCCATGTGTATTAAATAAAAAAATTGTATATGTGAGAAACTATTGTATATTTCTCAAATTTCGCGTGAACAACTTTGACATCCATGTCATCCCCAAAGTCAGACACCTCGGGTATGTACAATTTTTAAAACGATATTTCTTCGTTTGTAGTCCGATGACTATAGCGTAAGAGATGAAACTATTGTTGTTAAAAAATGTCTCATCTTCCATGTATTATATCCTAACATAAAGAAACATGTTTGAATATAAATGTTCCTGTGTCTATTGTGTTACTTTTTAGGACATTCTGACTTGATGTAACGAATTTGTTGTTACGCGCTAGAAAGTCCTAAAATGCAACATAATAGATAATGACTGGCGGTACACTTGTATTATAATGTGTTTATTGACTGTAGTATTTAATATATGTAAGAATTTGTAATTTTTATAACAATAATAGTTTTCATTTTGTTTAGTTTTTTGTCTCTCCTGCAAAATTTTCAAAAGTGTTGTTGGGCCCTTTTGCATTTCAGGTGACGATATGCCCCTTGTATCCCACCAATTGACCACAAAGTTCTTAAAGGAAATGCTGTAAGCTCTCTTTTGAGTAAAAAAATACAACAAAAACGTCCATTTTGAAAAAATAGGGAAAAATTAAGTGCCAAAAATTTAAAAAATCTTATTCTTTTAGTTTAGTTAGTTTTTGATAGATATCCCAATCGCATTCCCTTCCTGGGACTATAAAGCCATTAAAAGAAATTGTCTAAAAAGAACAATTTTTTATTTAATTTTCAAAAAATTTGGAAACAGTGAACTCATTTGGACAATTTTTGCTAGGACCAATAGGTGAAAAGTTACACTCATTTGAATAAAACCGTGTATGACCAAAATATCCAACCGATAGAGCTGAAATTTGTGTCAATACTACTAACAGTTGTGCAAATTTCGTCTATATCGGAAGACAACGATTTTAAATGTTGGGTCACTTGACACGAAATTACCGATATATTTCTAAAAATTTCATGTATTTTTATATAGGTCTTCAAAAGCTCTATAATTGGTAGAAAGAAGAAATTTAAAGAGCTTAATGGCCCAAAGATATAAGTAGTTAAAGTACGTGTCGTGATGTGACAGAAATATAAGTTGTATGTTTTAAGATAACGATTATTCCAACAAATATTTTCCAATAAATGTCCATTTAAACATTAGATTTTAAAATAATAAATCCTAGTAAATGAAAATGCTTTTGAAAATTTCCAAATGTTAAAAACGATAATTTTGCTATATTCTTACCTACTTTTTGCTACACTTCTTGCATTTGTATATACAAAAAGAAGTAGGTAATCTTTTTGTATATACAAATGCAAGAAGTGTGATAGAAATAGAAAGGAAAACAATAAAATAATCTATATTTTATTGTTTTCCTTTCCGAAATTAATAAGCGACTGAGTTCGAAATTTTAGTTTCTCAGTAACATATAAAAATCAATAATATTTATAAACTTTCAAATAATTGTTTAACCATTATTGAACAACATTTTAATTAAGATTGAGACAATCTTATTCCGAAGATTGTATGTTGTCATCAAAAAAAAAAAAAACACAATTCGGGTTTAAAAATATACAATATTTATTAAAACACACTAGTAGATTTTTATCTTTTTTCAAAAAGTCTGGACAATGATCTTTACAATATGAAAGTCAGAATGCTACTTAACTTCTACAAGTTCAAGTTCAATTTATTTCCAAAAATTTCCTTTTTACATATGTTTCATTAAAACTAAATTATAAATAATATTTTTTCCCAAATACTATAGTATCCTTAAGGGACTTATCAACTAATTAAATATATATGTTTAATAGTACTGTTACCAATAAATCTAATTTAAATGAATAATTTTCACATTCTATGGAACATTCAATAAGATTCTCCGAAAAAAAGGAAAAAAAAGGAGATAATTAACTTCTACAAAGCAATGTCGCTGCTTTTATACCATTTTCAAGCATGGTTGTTGTAATGGTATTCAGAATAATAATATCAATGCACAGAGTTGTTTTAAAATAGTATACAAAATAATCATAGTGTTGTATGTGGAAATAAACGTTAAGTTCAAATATCAATATGTTTTCATACAGAGGTGCACTTCGAACAATGCGTTAAATACAAATATGATATGTCCTCATACAGAGGTGCAATTTAAGCATTACGTTAAATTCAAATATGGATATAAATTAATACAGAGTCGTGTTCAAACAATAATGTATACTGAATTGTATTTTAAATTAAGCGTTAGATTCAAAAATAGTTTTAAATAATAAAATAATGATTAAATATAATAATAAAATAATGATTAATAAATGTGGACTGCTACAAGATCTTATATTCATACATACCAAAATACAACTTATTCATACATACCAAAATACACTAGCTATACCCAGTGTGCTTTGCTAACCTAAAAGAATATACAGTGAATCAACTAATTTTTTTGCCTACCTTTTTTTAAGAGAATTTTGTTTTTTGTTCATAAATAAAATTCAAAAAAAAAAAAAAAAACGGGTAAAAAGTAAATTTATGTTTTCCAATTGAAAATAGAGATTGTGTAGAATGGGAAAACCAAGAAAAAAATATTACCTAATCACCTAAGATCCACAAAAGCAATATTTTTCAGCTATTACATACACTTATATATCGTTAGAACCCAAATCAAGAATAACTATCCAAATTCAACTACGCCTACTGTATGTTATTCATAAAATAATGCATTCAAAATATGATGTAGAATATCAAGATTCTAGCATGTAATAGTTCTATAGTGGTATACGGTGATATCCCCATACTTAGAGTGGCTAGGATGGTACTTAGTGTTAGCTTTATTGAATAAGAATCAG